GTCTCACCTGGCGGCGGCGGCGGCGGCGGCGCCCGCGTGTCTGCTCCCGCCCGGGGGGGCCCTGACGTCACCACGCCCCATTGGCTCCGGCTGCAGCCCGGGCCGGGGCGGCGGGATAAAGGCGGCCCCGGCCCGACCTAGTTCCCGTCATCGCCACCGCGCACGTCTGTCTGTGTGTCCGCCTGCCGCTCCGCCGCCCGCACCATGGCCATCGACAGCTTCCTCGGCAAGTGGTGCCTCATCTCCAGCGAAGGCTTCGAGGACTATATGAAGGAACTAGGTGAGGGGCAGGATCGGGATCGGGACCGGTCCCCGGGGCGGCAGCTCTGTGCCGGGGGGCCCCGGGCTGGGACCAGCTCCTGCTCCGCCGCAGCAGCGAGCCCGGCCCGGGTCCCGCCTGCCCGCGGCCGCGGCGGGACTGCGCCCCACGCTCTTCCCCTGCCGTGTCCCTGCAGCTCGAGCCAGGCAGCTTCAGCCCCTGCCCGCCCGGGCCTCACGGGCGCCGCACGCTCGTCTGGGGAGATGGCATTAACAGTCCTCACAGTCAGAGCTGCGGCGAAGCAGGGCTGGGAGGGCCCGGGGCCACCTAGTCCAGCCCCTGCCTACCTCAGGCGGCATCGTCCCTATGCAAACCATCCCATACAGCGGTCGTCTGAACCCGCATAGGACTCCCTGCAGTCCTGGCGCAACAGAGCTAACGCCCTCGCTCGACATGGGTAAAGCTAAAGACAAAGCCCTGGCTCATTTTTTTTACCTCCCTCCTGGCTGTTGAACACTTTGGTGCATCTACACGTGTGCTTTAATGTGCATTAGCCTATTTTAATGGGCATTAAAGCATCACTAAAAACAGTGGGCACATCTACACGTGCATTAATGCACTTTAGTCAATGCACATTAAATCTAGCATCTCCATTGTGAGGTACTAAGAAAATGCACATTCGCCTGTCTTAATGTGCATTAAGTAAAGAGCATGGAGCATTTGTACACGTTTGTGCCACAGCATGAACAAGTGGCAAAGTGCGTTTCAGCACTGAGAAAATGGCTGTGGTATGTTTTTGAATGAAAACCCCTTGAAGGTGTTTTTGCTCAAAAGCTCACCACTGTCATTTTCTGCATGCTGATGTGCATTTTGCCACTTATACACCTGGATGTAATGCAGCTCAGTGTGCATCAGCTTGCATGCAAAGCAGACTTATTGAGTCTGCTCCACCCTGCTGGATCTCCAGTGTCACAGGACAAAAAGGTATGTGTATAAATGCCCATGGTTTTTAAGTGCTGCTTAATGCACAGTAGCCTATTTTAATGTACATTAACTAAATAGCATGGTGTTTTCAGTGACAATTTAATGAGCATTACAGTAGGCTACAGTGCATATGTAGATATGCCCACATATCATTTTTATTTAATGCGCATTAGCATATTTTAATACTCATTTTCGTAGTACCTTATAATGGAGGTAGTAGATTTAATGTGTGTTAATGTATGTGTAGACATGCCCTCTTGATGCCATGTTTTCTAGCCCTTTTCTGGACCAGCAAAGGCTATGAGCTTCAACACCCTGTGGGGTTTTTTTTGTTTTTGTTTTTTTTCTTTTTTCACTGTCCCCTCATGCTGGTAGCTGGGGTTTCAAGACAATTTCCAGTATGGCAAGATCCAAAATAAAACAAAAGCTGGCAACGCTTGTAGTGGAGCTGTGATAAATTGCTTGAGATAAGCTTTTAAATTTCCCTTTCTTTGTTGCATAGCAAATCATTTGGAGCCAGACCCAATAAAGAAGTTGGGTGCTTGTAGGCTGGGCACCACAGATTGCAGAGGGGGGTCCTTAATGCTTCATGAGGTACCTTGGTTCTCGGCACAATGCCTGGGGAGAAGTGGGTGTCTTGGAACACCTCTGGTCGAAAGCAGCCGGCAGTTTAACTGAGTGGAAGCACTTTAACAAGCGCTGATAGGAAAATGCTGAGAACTGTGCGAGTCTTAAATTATATCCCTCAAGTGTCCTTTCTTACGCAGTGGCACAACTACAACAGGAAAGGTGGAGAGTGTTTTCCTCATCTAGACTCGCTTAGGCTTTTGTGGTTAATTCATTACCTTAAGAGGTGTGCAATGTGACTTTGAATCTCTTAATGCAGCAAAGGGAGTTCCCACTTCCTGGACAAATACAGTAATCATTGGATCATAGGGGAGATAAGGCAGCTGAAAGTATGTTTTGTGAGGGGCTAATCCTGTGGGTGTGCATTAGGCATATTCACAGATTAAAACCCTTGAGGGATTTGCAGGGAAGAATGCTTGCTTTCTGGATCTTGGTCAGGCTTAGGAATGAGCTAGGTACCACACTGTTCAGCCCTGTGAAGACTGGGAGTTTGGGTGAAGTGCAGAGGTACAACTCTAGGCATTTGGGAACTTTACAGTTAAATAAAATGCCTTTAGACTGTAGATACCACTGGGATTAGACAGTAACTAAGTGAATGTAAACACCTAAATTCTTATCCATCTTATTTCAGGTTTCTGAGTCCTTTACTGAGTCTGGCATTTATTCACTGTCTATGATCTTAGAGGCAAGGGCTAGGTCATCACTCCATTTTGAGCCTATTGAAGTACACTAAGTTGAGGGGGGGTTCTGTGATATTATGACTCCAACTTGGACTGTTCAGAGGTATAATAAAGAAGATTATAATTCAGCGTGGAGAAAACATCAAGTTCTGTCTTCTTTAACTGGACTTAATCGAATAGTTGATTATCTGAGTCACTGACTTGGATGAAGAGCAAACTGGATAGCAGTGATCATTCTTGTTGGCTGGAGATTTAACTGGAAAAAGTGGCAAAGTTAGATTGTGTCCATCTAGCTGGGGGTAGGGGAAGGGTTCTTTTTGTCACTCAGGTTATTGGAAACAGTTGGTTGTGGAGGTACAAGTAGAAGCTGTGGCTAGGAATTCTCTTCATCACCTCCACCTAGCTAGAAGTGATAAACTTTTTGAGGTTAGTCTTCACCACACTTGATGCAGTCATCTCAAGGCTAGAACACTGTGTGCTGTACATGAGAACATGGAGGCCCTAGATGCACATAATTTCTGTTGTGCTATGAAGTTCGCAGCACTCCAACAGATAGGGGCAAGCATGCATTGGCAGATCCCGCACAGGCATGCTTTCCCGGCAGCAAGCAATAGGGGCTGTTTCTTAGCTCTCCTGCTCCCCAAGGGAGCCTGTCAGTGAGCAGAACAGTGTTATTGACAGGCTTGCTCAGTCAGTTCTTGCCATGGTGGCAACAGCTGATGGGGCTGCCCACAAATGGTTGGTGGCAGCAAAGGATGATAAGGTGGTCTCTGTCAATCCATTAGGCCCTGCTGCTGCTGTAGCCCTGTCAACGTTCCCTGGTAGCAAGGCTGAAAACTCTGTCCTTGAGCTACATGGTGTTAAGGGCTCATTGTGTGGTAGGCACTGCCCATTCAGGCCCTGCCATTACTGTAGCCCAATCACACTTGCTGCCAGGTGATGATGGTGGCAAACTGGTCTTTGCAGCTTGCGGGCTGAGCAGGCTATGGGGAAACCAGCAGGTTTCCTCTCCCTCCCACCACCCCACTTAGATATATTACATTCCCATGACAAAGAAGTTGCTGTTTGAAACAGCACCATTATTGTCCTGGATCTGTTGCTTTTATAGTTGTTCATCCTTTTTTTTTTTTTTTTCTTTTAATGTGCCAGACTTCATGAACATGTGGATGCTCATGTTTTGTCACACTTAAAGTATACAGCGTGACAAATGTACCATGCATCAGGGGTGTAGGACAATTCAAATGACATTGCAGAATGCAACTGCTCACTACTTCAGTGACACTTCTTACAGAAAGTGCATCATCCTGCGCTCTGATATGCATAGGTTTTCAGGTTGTTGGGTGCTGTTAAATTGCTGGTTTGAGGGTAGTGTAAGAAGCCCTGTGCAGTTCATGGTCCAAGTACCTCCACAATAGTTTCATAGTAGCTAGGGTCAGGAGGGACCTGAACAGATCATCTAGCCTGCCCCCCTGCCACAGGCAGGAATGAATGCTGGGTTCACAAGACCCCAGACAGGTGATCATCCAACCTCCTCTTGAATTTGCCCAAGGTAGGGGCGAGGACCACTTTCCTGGGAAGTTGGTTCCAGATTTTGGCCACCCTAACTGTAAAAAATTGCCTTCTGATTGCTAACCTAAATCTGTTCTCCATCAGCTTATTACCATTGTTCCTCATCGCCGCAGGTGGTGCTGGGGAGAAAAGGGCTCTACCTATTTGCTGTTGATCTCCCCTGATGAGTTTGTAGGCAGCCACCAGGTCCCCCCTCAGCCTCCTCTTGCTGAGGCTGAACAGGTTCAGGTCCCTCAGTCTCTCCTCACAGGGTCTGTCCTGCTGCCCTCTCACTAAGTGGGTGGCCCTCCTCTGAACCCTCTTCAGACTGGCCACATCCCTTTTGAAGTGCAGCGCCCAGTACTGGACACAGTACTCCAACTGCGGCCTGACCAAAGTTATTCTTCTGTTAGATGATTGATATTAAATTATATTAGTATTCAAGTTAATTTAATTAAAAAGAGTCTAGAGGTAGGATGAAGGATTTTTTTGGTAAAGCGTCTTCAGCTTTGAAGCTGCTTCTGTAGTTGACATGCTCTAGCCCTAATTTATGGAATTTCAAGTGATGCTGCAAGTTTCATTCTCCCTTGGTTTTGTCTGCAAAACTCATCTGAGTGGATTTTAATGGATCCTTTGAGTGTTCTCACTTCTGAAAGCCAATATTCATCATATTAAATCCTCCGTTCTGTGGTTTTTGTTTTTGTTTTAATTGCAAGAGTTCAGAACTATAGACTTTGAATAAACTAAAATAAATGTATATGAGTAGATTAATTTTATATTTTGAAAAAATCAGCTAGAAAATTTTTGAAGCAGAATTACTTGTGTGGCAATTCTTTTATAGTTCATGTTTGCCCTTTCTAGCTTGCACATTGGTTTGTGCGCAAGGGAGGATCTGGCAGGTGGGGGTGAGAAGGGGGTGGGCAGGACTGGGTGCAGTTATATCCCTCTCTGAGTCCTGCTTTACCTAAATTTTAAAAGCAACTGCCTAGGAGGAGCAGCAGCATTTCTATTCAAGCAGCAGTGAGGGAGTCAATTGACTTCATGGCTTATTATGATCTAGCTGCAAATTAGTGCACATTCCAATGAAGTTATATATATATTTTTTGCTTTGATCTTACTTTGAACTGAATAATATAGTGCTAGGCCTCTAGTGAATAAAGCTTCTAGTTTAACTGGAGAAAAGTGTGTTGCTATGCCAGACTATCTATACCCTCCCCCCTTTTTCAAAATCCTAGATCCACCCATGTTTGAGTGAATGGACAGAAAATTTGTTGGTCCTCTAGGGGGAGAAGTAGATTAAACTTTTTTTTCCTGAGCATACAGAATAGATGATTTCTTACAATGAATTTTCCCCACTCTCTCTGAATGATTAAAACTGAAAATTTTTCTTTGTGAGTCTTATGCTCCAGTCCACACACACTGAAGTGACTAACTCCTATTGAAATCTAATAAATCTAGGCCTTTGTCTGATTGTCTCATCTAAAACGCTGCTTTTTTCCCCTCTGTAGGTGTCAGTATGGCCATGAGGAAGATGGGAAGTATGGCCAAACCAGATGTTTACATCAGTAAGGATGGAGATACGATCACTGTGAAAACAGAGAGCACCTTTAAAACCTCACAATTTAGCTTCAAACTAAATGAGAAATTTGAGGAACATACATTAGATGGCAGGAAAACTCAGGTCAGTACCTCAGACTTTCTTCTGAATAACCTCAAACCAGTGGATACCCTTCTACGACCTCTACTTGCATCAAGTATTGCCTTACTTTGTACATGTGGCTGGCATTCTGATGACAAGCCCCATTGATCTCAGTTAGTTTTTCTACACTAACTGCCAGTGGAAAAAACACTGAAACAAAATCTAGTTAATCACTTTCTCATTGCAAAACAGTGATATTTAGTGTGTTTAATTAAACTGACAGACGTATAAATACATATTAAACACTGTCAGTGGCACCTCTATCAACAATAGGTGTGGGATTTGTTACCACAGCTAATCTTGAAGCATAATCTCTTGCACTTGCGCAACATTTTTCAGTGTGCATTGGATTGACCTATAAGGATATGCAAGTCTGACTCCCTGTTCCTGAACTCCACAGACTGAAAGTGCCTTTCCATTTTAATTAGAGGAATTGTTCATGATTAGGAGTGGATGAGAATGAATAAAACTTAATCTCTTTGAATGTTATAGAAACATAGGGTTCAACTTGACTTCAACTGGTCCACAGATGCAGGATTTGCTAGCCCTAACCCATACCAGTTAGTTGGCTTGTCAAGACTGGATAGGCATCTGTCACATTGTTTGGATTCGGTGCACTGGCCAAAACTCTTCCCTAGCTCAATTATGCACTGTCATTACATGTGCCCAGTGCAAAACCAAACAGCAGTGACAAAGGCCTGAGCACAATTTAAACTGTGCATGCTGTAGCAGCTTTATTATATTCAGTGACCAGTAGGACACATTTCTAGAAAAGTGGCAGAGTAATATAAAAGTAAGAGCCATCAAAAAAACTTAAAGTGAAAGTTTGGGACTTATAGAAAAACTCCTTGGGCCGTCAGCAGGGCTAGGATTTCCTCTTTGGAGTAAAAGAGTTAGAGTGCATCACATAATCAGAACTTTACTGTTTAGCTCAGAGTCATTGTCTTTATTTGCAGACCCTTATCACCTTAACTGATGATAACACATTGCACCAACTTCAGACATGGGATGGCAAGGAATCCACAATAACTCGGAAAATAGAGGATGGGAAATTAGTGGTGGTAAGTGACTTAATTCTTGCTTTCTGATCCATTGACTTCTGTAAGGCTATAGAGGCAAGCAGCTGCTGGATGAGTGGAGCTGTGTTGTCCCCTGCTAACCCTCTTGTCACTGAACACTATGTCTACTGGGGCCCAAGCCCCCAGATTCTTCAGCAGGCAATGGCCTGCTCTAGCCTCCTGACCACACCTCCCAACTTCCAGTTGCCTGCTGGTAGTCTGGGAGGCTATTATACAGTGACTCAGTGGGCCATATATTTGATAAACCTGGGGTGTATTTTTCTATACTATAACTTAAAAGGAAACTCAGAATCTATATTTGCATTCCTATTAACAATTGCATTCCTGTGTTCTGTCCTAATTTAAACTCTATGCAATTTAATTCATGTATCTTTTTTTTTTTTTTCCTAGGAATGCGATATGAATGGTGTCAAATGTACTAGAGTCTACAACAAAGCATGAAGATCACGTCTCTATCTCTGCACTGAGTTGGACTTCCTAACAACAGCTCAGTTCAGTGAACAAACTTACTGTACACTCCATTTTTATCTTTTCC